TCATCCTTAGATTAAGTAAATGTCTGGACTTGAATAATTCCTTTGGAAGAGATAGTGAAGGACTTGTGATTTTGGAGTAGTTGCTTTTTAGCTGAGAATGTTCTTCATGCTATTTATGTCTTAACATATTGCATAAGTGCCTCAAGAGCTGAAAAGAAACAGAATTTAGCAATCAAATTTTTTTATCCCTCTAAAATTTTCTCCCTAGATCCCTTACCTAACTCCAACATAATGTGCAAATGCTTGAGCACTCAGTTTAAATCTGTTAGACACTTGAAAACTTGTTTTTCGAAATTAGGAAACCACTTTCTTCTTTAAAAGAAAGCATTGCTCTTCAATGAGAAATTTTCACATTATCACATAAAAGTATCCAGAAGTAAATACAGGTATGTCTCAAAAGTATTTTTCATAGACTTTCAATTCTTTTAATAATGTGGATTATACAGTAATTAGAGGTGAAATAAATACCTCAATTCAGATTCATTTTGACCCACTTTTGTATAAATACTTATTTTTTATAAATTTACAAACACACGTGATACATACTCTCATGAGACCAACACTTAGAGTTCTAAGTGCTCTAACTAGCACTTAGAGTTCAATTAATAGACTCTTTGTATTGCCCTTTTCTGTCAGTATTTTTACCTATGCTTTTACATTGTTTCTTAATTAGAAAGACTTCCTACTCTCCATGAATATTTGGAAAGTACTCATATATGTATCAATTTGCACCTTTTCTAGTTTAATTTTCATTTTAAGAATTTAGTACATTTAGTTTATTTTTCTGCTTGGTTTGATCTGCTTGGTATAATAGATTTGTTCTACTGGTATTTGTTTCTGTTTTTTGTTTTTGTTTGTCTTTTCTGCCAGTACCGGGAATCGAACTCATGACCTTGTGCTTGCCAGGCAGACGCTTTGCCGCTGAGCTAAATCCCCAGTCCCTTGTTCTACTGGTATTGATGAAATTCAAAGGTAGCACGTGATTCATACTATATGTTTATAATAACAATACTACATACCCACTTTTTATAATTAAATTTTTATTGTCTTAATGAGCATATAAATTAGCTATAATAAAATGATATTTAATTATTTTAATATGATTTGGTTAAGAGTTATTTTATTTTCTTACTATTTTACCCAGTCATTGTTTTTCTAACAGATTTTTTATTTATTCTTACATATTTTCTATTCTAAAAGAAGTGGTCCATACTGAATGAAAACCATCTTAATTGGTTTAATGTAGTAGGTGTTACAGAATTCTTTATATAAACATTACACATTGCTCTTCAGTTTGATTTTTTGTTGCATTCTCTTCTCTTTTCCTCCTGGCTTCCCTTTGCCTTTTTCTCTATTTTTCCCTTTCTTGTCTACCATGAAATCTTTCCTTTCTCCCTTTCTGTCCTTCCTTCACTCTCTCCTTCCCTTCTCTCCATTCCTCCCTTCCTTCTTTCCTCCTTTCTTTCTTTCCTTCATTCCTTTCTTCTTCTCTCTCTTTGCCTTCCCCGCTTCCTTCAATTTCTTTCTTTTTGAAAAGGAGTACATTTCTACTATTTCACAAGTTCATAATGGTACCTGACATAGCTGAAATTAATTCTTAAAGTTGCCTATTACAGTATATCTGAGGTATTCAAATGTTAGTTGAAATTATTTATAGTTAATGTTTTGTTAGGTTTATCTTTTATCTGGTTACTTTCTTGAATGATCTGACCTATGTTAATAATGTAGATAATATAATTGAAAAAGATACCATCTTTAAATAGTGACCATTTTGTCTCCTCTTCCCTGTACATGCTATTTCTCCCCCTTTGGGGTAGAGAAGCACTGTAAATTTTATGCTTTAAAATAACTAAACACTTTCTCTTCCTCCTTTCTCTACCCAGGGAAGAACAATGGACAGATTCTATAGATATTTACCCTTGGTTAATGCCACCTACATACAAGTATGTGTCTTCTGTCTTCAGTAAATCCATTTAGTCATACTCAGAATTATGCTAAACTAATCACTGGAATAAACCACTGTCACATACCCATGACCCAGTATCACTCATCCATGATCCAATCACACTCAAAAGCTCCACCTGAGAGCACATGAGGCTTTGAGGGATGTTTCACATATAACCCATGACAGCAGTGTTTTATGTTTTTAATTTTTTGAAAGTATTGAAATAAAAATACTGTTTCTTGAAGATTCAACTGCATTACTCCACTCTTCTGAATCTATTGTACTGTGCTGCTACTTGTAATATGAAGTACAAGGAAACAAGTTCTTCCAGGAAGAACTGATTAAATTGATCTCAGAAGGAACATACAGATAAAATTGTAGCATTATGAACTCCTAATAAGTAGCTGTCTACTTTTTTACTTTTAAATGCCCATCTTCCAATGACTAAAATATGAGCTTCATGAATATTTCTCCTGTCTATTAACTGGTGTTTCCTGCAATTAAAAGACTACCAACATCATAGCAGAAATCTAAATAAATTTGGGTTTCTCAATAAATAAAAAAAGAATAATCCTGTTTTGGTTGTGAGTGGATTTTTTTTTGGCCAATGTGAGAAAATTTTATGTAGTATAACACTGTGGCTCTTACAGGATAGCTAACAGAGTTGTACTACTGACTTTTATTTGCTCAATTGAAAGGAACAGGTAATGTTTAAGTCTTTGGTCAATCTTACATGCCTATATTTATTTATCTGAGTAACCAATTTGAAGATATCCTTATCTAATGCAACAACCATTGTTTATTTCCTATCACCTTGTCTGAAATTCTGTATTGTTTGTATTGTTTTTCTGTTATTTTCTAAATGCATGTGTGTTTGTTAATATGTTTTCATTTTTTATCTTTAAAATAAAAAAATAGTGATTTTTTTTTACCATTCTTTACCAAGTACCTTATCCCCCTAAAAACTGGCATTTTTAATTCTTAAAAATCTGTGTGCATGATTTTGTTCTCTCTATTCAGGTGTACAAATTTACTCTATTCCAGTACTAGGTTTCTTTCTTATCAGAGCTACTTTTTGAATCCAAATGGAAGTAAGAAGGGAAAAGACATGAAGAAAAACTACAGTCTCTAGGTAACAATAACTTAGTGTTTTTCAGTATCATATATGTAATGAAGTGAAGTCCTTCTTTCCGATCAGTAGATAGGGGATAGGAGAGTAGGGCATGACAAACCTGGCTGGGGAAGTAGGAGTGACCTGTTAATTACAAGGTTCCACGTGCATACACATGCACACAATAGTTCCTAAAGCCTTGCACGCGCACTTCTTACTAGAACTCCAGCAGGTTCTCAGTAGGATGGCTTACACCTGCCATTAGTCTGAGGTGTGGGATCCAAGCTCCGCCTCTCAGGACCCGTATGTAGAAGGTCTCGCAGGTTTCCTTGAGATTTGAACAGTATAGAAACAGAGGCAGCCACGAAAAGCTTGTTGTCCTGACTTTCCCCAGGGTAACCTGTCCTGCTTTCTTCAGGGTGTCTTTTGTTGATTTTTCTCCTTTTACTTGGCCTAAGCTTGCTCTGCAGAGCCAGTTTCTCCCTCACTCTTCACTTTTGCTTCCTTGTATAAACTTTGCCACTGCTTCTTGCTCTTTCCTTCATTCTTTGTTTGAGAGGAAAACAACCTGGAATCTAACGCCACAAGGAGAGGCAACCAATCCAGAACCCAGTAACATTTAATTGGTGAGTCACTTTTATTTTTTTTTTGGTTTTTCTCCGGTACCGGGAACCGAACTCACGACCTTGCACTTGCCAGGCAGGCGCTTTTGCCGCTGAGCTAAATCCCCAGCCCCTGGTGAGTCACTTTTAGAAGCAGGCTACCTGGTAACAGGTGTGCTCAATGTCCTAAAAACATAAATCAGAAGTTCTTGAAAAGATAATAAGGTTTCTCCAAACAGACAAATTCAATTCCATGTGTAATAAATCAGCTATAATTAATACTAAAAGAGCCATTGTTTTTATTTTTAATGTCATTGCATTAATTAAACAGATTTTTAAAATCTTTTAAAAATTTGTAATAGAGGAAAAAAATCTAAATTCAAAATATAGTGACAAATAAATATTTGTTAAATAAACTCCTTCACCGGGGCCTCAGTATTTAGACAGATTGAATTCTATCTGTTGTGGAACCTTTAAGTATGTAACGGGGGAAAGATAACAGGAAGAAAGTAGTGGGATGCTTTGAGTAATATGGAAAATTGTTTAAAAGAATATGGAAGATTCATCATTTAGCATATTAAATTCATTTTGTTATTGCATGACAGAAATTATGACAGAGTACTTCCTCCAAATTTTTTCCCTTTTGGTCCTAATTTCAAAATATTACAGAAGGAAATATGTCAGGTTTCTGTTTATTGCTTTTCAAACAACATGGAATTGATTTCTTTACTTTGTGTCAGAAATCTTGCAGTTCCCTTCTGGTGTAACATGTTTTAAAAATGAGAAATTAGTTATTGAAGAAGCCAGTGCAAACAGTAGTCCCTTTTTCTTCTTGAAAACCTATGATTTGAAAACATGGTCTGGTTATTCATCTACACTGCTATCAAATCTGATCTTGGAAATCTAGAGTTCATCTTTCCTCTACTCTCCTCTTTCTGGGACTTAATTACCTTATTTCCCCATGAGTTTCACAGAAAAAATTCTAGATGTCGGCTCAGATATTAATTCTGATCCAGTCAGTGTACATTTACAGGGACATTTTCTCAAGGAATGTTCTAAATTTTGGGGGTTTGGGAAAAAGTATGTTTAAGTTCCACCAAACAGAATCGGGAGCAAAGTTCCTTTTAAAAATGTGTATTTATGGGTTTAATAAAACTTAGTGCCTAAATAGTAACTCCCATTTTTAAAAATGGAACATGTTGAAAACTTTTATAGGAAAACATTTTTAAAGTTATTATTAGATTGTAGGAATTGGGGGCGGAGTTGGCCTTAGAAAAATAAGATCAGCAATAAAAAAGGAAGTTAAAACAACATATCGTTGGTTTAAATCCGCATTGTTCCAGAAAACTGGACTGATTTGAAAAAGCAGAAAAGCAAAATGAGTGAAGTAAAGATTGCTATGATGGGTGGTGAAGGCACAGGAAAATCTGGTAAGTGGTCATGTTTTTCCTGCGATGAGATAGTATAAAATGAGTAAGAAACTTATTGATAAATTAAATTATAGCCGTACATAACTACATATATTGAATAATTCATTCTCTCAGATAATATGCACATTATTGTTCAGCAGAAACTTTCAGTTTTATAGAAATTTTCAATGTATTTATAAATGTAGGGATAGCAAGATGAGTGAAATATTAACAGTATCTTATTCTACTGATTTTTAAAATTTGGATTTTTATTATGTAGTCCATGTTTGCAGTAGCTAATGAATGATTGCATTCATTAACTACGGGGTGAGATTGTACATGTACATAATAGTTTCATTTTTTTTTTACTTCCCTTTGCTTTTCTCTGCTTGATAATGCTTAAAGTTAGAAAATAAATAATAGTAAATGTCTTCCACACTATTCTACTTACTCATTTCAATATAACTAACCTGAAAGCCACCAGCAGGTAAAAAATGGCTTTGAAAGATTATTCTCTTCTTAGAATAAGTAAGAAAAGAGATGTATGGAGCTCTTGCATGGTGTTTGAAATGCAGCATTGCTGAAGTTAAAGAACCTTGGAGTGACATACTTTTATAGATACCTTGACAGTGAACTGCATGTGCTCTAATTTTGGAAGCCATGCTTTAGCTTTGGTTTACTTTGATTTTGTTCAGACCTTAATGGTGATGAGGATACCCCCAACAGAGCTATGTTAGCCTAATGAATAATGCCTTAGTAACCAATCAGACCTTGGAGGTCATTGTTTCTCTTACATATAGTACCTTGGAGCCAGATTTAATTTGATAGAAGAAACAAAGCATATACTAGTCTTCCAGTTAAAATGTAAAGAGAAATGTTGGTATTAGAACACATAAGGTACCTTATGCATTTGCATTCATAAGCTGATTCCATGACATAAATGTGTAGAATTCTAAGACCATGTTTTTCTATCTCCTAATCATGGTTGTAGTCACCATGAAAACATTGTTTACTACAATTTAGACCAGGGTTTAGTAAAATTTTAAGGTTTTTATGAATATTTAGTGATTCTTGAAATGAAAGAGACAGTTTTATGCATATAACTATGTATTCTAAAATACAACAAACCTTAAATTTTACTTATTTTTAGCTCTTATTGTGAGGTTTCTTACCAAGAGATTCATTGGAGAATATGCTTCTAATTTTGGTAAGTTATTACTCTAGTCTTTTTCTACATTAAAATTTCAACATCATTATGAAAGCCCAACTAAGATTATAAAAGCATTTAAATAGAATCTGCAACTTTTTACACTTAACAAGCAACTTAATGCATCGATCCTGGTGAGACATGGCAAAATAGGTATTTGAAGAATTTTCTTTTAGGTAAAATTCACTGAAATTGAAGTTGACTTAGAAAGGGGGTTGGCTTCAAGGTCTGGAAGTAGGAAAACGTTAAAGCTTGGATATCCTTCCCAAAACATTGCAAAGCACTCGTGTATGCCTATTTTTATAAGTTATGGCAAAATTTTTCATAATAAAACCAATATCAGTTGAAAGATGAGGAAAAAGTAATCCTAAAAGCACAAATAACTTCCAAATAAAGCAGATTGTTACTATAAAACCAAGATTAGAGAAAATTGTGCCTTGATTAAAGTTAAGATTAATTAGCTTGATTTATAAATTTCAGAGAAATTCTAGAACAGCTGCTAGAGCACTATACTATACTCTTTGAATCATTTCACTAACTTTATTAAAATTTTGCATTATTTTGATAATTCATTTGGCATATGGTTTTAGTCCCAGCACAACAGGTGAGGAATTTTACCTAACTTTGAGTATTACTTTTGCTTAATAATTAATTACTATCATAGTATTAATATTTGATTTGATCATTGGCTTTGTGATAAATGATTTTTTTCTTTATTTTAAGAAGCAAGAGTGACATAATTATAGAAAATATGAGATTTGGGAGAAAAGAAACTAATTTTGCATTCAGTATTACTTAATTCAAGTAAGAAATTAATGTTTGTGAGTATGTTTTTCTATAAAGAAAATGGAGAAATAAATCTTTAACATTTATCCATGAAGGAGCATTACAAGAGAATTTCAGAAAATAACTTTAAAGTATTTCATTGTGTTGTTTCCTGCATGTACCTGACATAGTATTTCAGTCCCTATGACATTTTTGAACACTTTAGGGCAACCACTTGAAAACTGATTAAGGAAAGTAGAAATATATGAAAAGAGAAATTCCCAGTGTTTCATTTCTAGGGGCAAAAACCTCAGTGACAGGGTCAGCATAACACATGAGTTAGGACTCAGGCATTGCAAAATATTCCTAACTACAAATGAAACTAAACATAAATAAAAAATGTAATATCCCAACAATAATAGCAACAACATCCTTCACCTTAATTTTTTATACAATCTAGTTATATAAACAAATGAAATGTTTACATGTTTCTAGCTGTTACCTCTCAGTGAAAAAATATTAAACCTAGAGATATTTTGAAAAGATAATACGATAATACAAAGGTCATTGACTCTGAGAAGACAAACTAGTGAAAACAACTCCATTTTGTAAGGCTAGAAGGGGAAATAATAACATTCTTTAAAAATGTGAGAATTGATTACCCTTGTCAGCAGGTATTTAAAAGTTGAGGGTGGATACTTTTTAATGTCTAGAAGGAGATTTTATGGCTCAGAGTTGATAGCAAAGATATGAAGTTTGGAAGAAACTCAGGAAATGTAATTTAAAATTTTATCAAACCACAACAGATATCATTAAATGTAATCTAAAATATTTAAAAAATCAACCTTAACCCTCTGGGGAGACATTGACTCCCCAGATTCCTGCTGCAGATTTCTCCTAGGGGTTACAAAGGTCTGGCCAGCATGGGTCTTGATTTTATGGCAATATTGCTATTTTGTAGAGAAGTAGAATTTTAAAAATCAAAACACTGGTTATATAAATGAATTAACTTGTTCATCCATTCAAAAACTGTCCGTTGAGGGGCAATGTTATCTAATATATTCTTTTTAGGTATAGATGTTATAGCAGTGAATCAAGTTTGAACAAATACCCAAATCTTCATGGAATTTATAGTTTGGAGGGATGGAGCAGTCAATCCAGACTCTCCTCAAAATAATTAAAATGCCTGTGTCATATGATGACAAATGCTATGAAGAAGAATGAAATGAGAGAGGAAGGGCACTAAAATGGTATGTGGTGATTTAAAATAGGATAGCTGGGGCAGATCTTGCGAAGGTGAAATCCAAGGACATGGTAAAGATAGTTTTCAAAGTATCTAGGGATTATATCCCAAGGAGTCTCCTGAATAATTGCAAAGTTTTGAGGCAATGAATTTCTGAAAAATTTAAAGAATGATTTAGATAGTAGTGTAGATGGAATGAAGAGCGTGTGAAATATAAGCCAAAGAGATCTACAGAGATGACTGAAGTAATGGGGGGGGGATGCAGGGAATGAGGGAACTTTTCAGACTTTTAAAAAGTTTTGGTTTAATCCCAGAAAGATGGGCCATGACTGGAGCAATTTCATTAGACATATGTCTGATCTGACTACAAGTGTACTTTTAGTTCTGCATTGAGAATAGGGCAGGGACAGGAAGGGATTGGGGGACTGAAAGCAGATAAATTAGGAGATTTCTTAGGCAAAAAATACTGGTGACTTGGTCTACAGTATTAGCAATGGAAGTAAGTGGGATGTGGACAAATTTAAAATACAATTTGAAGGGAGAAGAAAAATGGATTTTTAATAAAATAAATGTGGGCATAAGAGAAAGAAAGAATCATGGAAGATCTTAAAGCTTTTTAGCTGAAACATTGGATTTACAGATATGACATTTAAAGAAGTGGGACTCTACGAAAGATACAGCCTTTGCAGGCAGATAAGGTTGTTCTAACTGTGGTAAGATGAGAGATGTCCACCACATATCTACATGCAGATTTCCAATGGCAAGTAGTTGTCTATCCAGAGTCCGGGGAAGTGGATATGAGTTGGATTAATCAGAAATGATTGGTCTGTAAAGGCATGGAGTTGGTGAGGTCAGGGAAGGAATATAGATAGAGAAGAGATCTATAGACTGGATCATCTTCAGAATGGGAAGGGTGGGATGTGAATTAACAAGTTGAAGTAACAAAGGATAAAAGAAAAAAAAACAAACAGGAGAATGTGACACTGAAAGCCACATATTTAATGAAGCAGGAATGATCAATTTCATTAATGTTACCAAAAAGGCAAATAAGACCCAGAACTGACCACTAAGTGTAACGATAGGTAAGGTAGAAAAAAAATTGACATATTTGTAAGATGTTGGTCATGAAATATTAATGACGAATAAATTCATGATAGAGTGAAGACAGAGGCAGAATTATTGAAGTGAGGTTTTCCAGGAGGTTAGAGGAAGTCATTACCACTTGGGAGGAAATAAATTGTCCGTAGATAGCAACACAGGTACTTCATCCATGGTAAAGCACCTAAGTGAATAGATACAAATGGCAAAGTTCCTTGGTGAGAAACTTATCCGAGGAAATAACAACATGTTTGTGGGTTTGGTCACTGACAGTGAAGAAAAGTTACTTATTATTACACTGAACTATGGCCAGCTGAATTTGATATGATAAGATAGCACATTTTTTATTTTGGAATTTTTCTGTGTCAACAGTGAAGGTACATTTGTCTTTTTTTGCAGAATCTATCTATAACAAGCATTTGTGTTTGGAAGGGAAACAACTGAATCTGGTAATCTATGATCCTTGTTCTCAAGTAAGTTAAGAAAAATACCCTTTTATTATATTTTATTCACTTAATTAGGACTTGAAAAAGATTAGATAAGGGTAAGGAAAATATTGCTTGTGTTAAAACTGAACTTTTTTCTTTTCTCTTTTCCCTCACTCCTGACTTTGATTTCTCTGTTGAAATGAAGAGTTAATGTTTAAGGGTATGGTCAGTCTTACATGTCTATATTTGTTTATCTAAGTATCCAAACTGAGGATATCAATATGCAATACAACAGCCATTGTTAATTTCCTATCACCTTTTCTGAGATTCTGTAGTGCTTGTATTGTTTTTGTGTTATTTTCTAAGTGTATGTGTGTTTGTTAAGATGTTTTCTTTCTTTTATCTTTAAAATAAAATAAATTAAAAAAACAACTTTTTTGGAATTGTGACTATTAAAATGTTCAGAGATTACTTTTAGTACTATAAATGCAGTTATCTGCTTTTCTATAAATTTATTTCAAAATTATATCTTCAAAATAGTAATATTGAGCTGGATTTCCATCAGGTCATAATGTAGTTGTCAAAAATTAGTAGTTTAAAGGCTTGTCAATTCAGGTTATGTGTTCAATAACTTGTAAGTAGCCAACTGTCAAAAGAGAATAATTAAGGTGAATTTTGAGTACAAACCTGTGTTCATTAAAAATATTATAATAATTAAAGTAAGATTTTATATGGTGGAGAAGAAATTGTCAATTGTCTAAGATTTCAAAATAGAGCAAAGTGTGGTAGATAATGTCTGTAATTCCAACACTCAAGAGGCTGAGGCCGGAGGATGGCAAATTCAAGGCCAGTACTGTGATGCATAGTGAATTCAAAGCAAGCCCGGACGAGATAGAGAGATCTAGTCTCAATCAGTCAACCAATCAATCAAACAGCTTTCTAGAACAGTAGTTCTTAAAAAACTCTTTGGCTAAACCTTGCCAATATTTTTACTTTTATGGATTAAATCCAATACCAAAAATCAATGAGTACTCCATTTACTACATAAAAAGAAAAGTCTATTTTTCAAAACATCTCTCTCCTTACTAATTTAAAAAAGATTTTATCGTACACATTTTCAGAAGAGTAGATATTTTATGATGGAAAAGTTGTAAAATATTGTAGATAAAACGTGGTTGTTGTTCCTTTCTATATTTCAAATTTCAATCATTTTTAATTAAAGAAAAAAGGTAGTAAGAAAGAATTGATCATTTAAAAACTTCACTATTTGTGAAAAGTTTGGGAACAAACTTCAGCCAACAGTCCCTCAGACAAAATCTTCTATCTAGAACATATGAAGAATTGAAAAACAAAATTAGGCCTCCAACATTAAAAGGCCCAATCCAAAAATGGGCATCTGAGGTGAACATGTATTTCTCAGGTGAAGAAATATAAATGGCAAATAAATACGTGAAAAAATGTTCAGCATCATTGGTCATTTGAGAAATGCACATTAAAACAACAATGAGATTCTATCTCACCCCACTAAGAATGGCTATCATCAAAAAAATCAACCAATAATAAACGCTCTCATGATGTGGGGAAAAAGGAACCCACTATTGGTGAGAATGTAGACTGGTACAACCACTGTGGAAATCAGTGTGAGATTCCTTAAAAAAACTAAGATGAAAGATCCCATTCTACCCAGCTATTCCCCTTCTGTGTATACTTCCAGAGGAATTAAAAATTTCATACCACAACAATATATGTGCACTCATATTTATAGCAGCACAATTTGTCATAGTTAAATCTTGGAAACAACCCAAATACCCATCAACCGAGGAATGTATAAAAAAGATGTGGTATTTCTATACGGTGGATTAGTACTCAATTATAATGAAGAATAGACTCAAAGCTTTTACAGGTAAATGGATGCAACTAGAAACCATGCTCATAAATGAAATAAATGAGACTTGCACGTGTAAACATTGTTTTGTCTCCCTAGTGTCTGAAACGGAAAGAATAAATAAGATCAAAAATATAGATGTTGTAACTGCTGAAAAGGCAAGAGCAACTGGGATGGGGAAAAGGCAAAAAGAAGGAAAGGAAAAGAAAAAAATATATAAATACACAAGATAGTTAAGATAACTATACTACTAATTTCTGTTAGTTCATTTAAAAGAACACTTCGTTCTTATATTATTTGATCAAATTTGCATGCCTATATCTTGAAATCTGAGCAACTACTTTGAAGTTAAAATACACTATAATAACCATTCTTAATTTTCTATTATCTTGTTTTGAAATTCTGTATCATTGCTTTATTGTTTTTTTTCTCTTTAAGATAAAAAAATCACTCTTTGGCCTTACTGAAGTTTATTCTAGGTGGACATGTACCTATTCCTTAACTACAGTGTAAAGCCCAATCTCAACACTTTACACTTTGTTTCTTTTCAGTCACAGAAGGCAAAAATTTCCCTTACAAGTGAGCTTCACTGGGCAGATGGGTTTGTTATTGTGTACGACATCAGTGACAGGTCCTCATTTGCTTTTGCAAAGGCCCTGATATACAGAATTCGGGAGCCACAAACTAGTCATTGTAAAAGGTAAGATATTTCATTCCCCTCTCCTTCCCTTTTTGTAAATCATCGTATAGCTATAAGCATCATTAGGAATAATTTAATACAGCCTTCCAATTACAAAATTTAACAGCCCTGAACAATTCACCTTCCCATTCCACAGGAGTTACACATGTAGTAAAAGGAATAAGATGTGAATGCTTTATATCCCGGCTGACATAAACAGTTACTTGCGCTGAGTAAATGGCTATTTTACAAGACAGCTTCTATTGTTAACATGACACTCACTTGCAAAATAATGATCCTCTGTATACAAGATAGTTTACTTTTCAACCTTTCCTTTTCATTCTCACAAAAATGTGAACGATAATAAATGAATCCAGATTTACTGCATTTGGCATCCTGTGAAGTGCAATTCTTTCATCAGTGGGTTGTTCAGTATATCATAAGACAGACTGAATAATCAAACCGTTTGCAAATTCTAAGTAGAAGCATGCATCTTCCGACCCTTCACCTCCTAAAATAAGAAGATGGTCAACAAGTCTCCATGAACTGCCTTGAGACATAGCCTATGTCGGAAAATACACTGTGACTGTGCCTTAAACAGTGTGTTGGGAGATGAAAGTTAAAGCGTCAGAGTTTCTCATTGTTTAGGTTTTATATTTTCTAAACATTTGGTTAGTTTCTCTGATTTTAAGTGTTTTTGTTCAAAATGTATTTTAAGGAATTCTTTGAGCTCTTAATCAGTTTTCTTACAGTCTAAAATAATACATGAATCTGGAAAACAAAAAGTACAATATTATTATTACAAATTGGCACATGCTTATTTATATCTAGTTTACATGCCCACTCTCAGGAAACCTTGGGCTAATAATTGACAAAGGATATTTCCCTGGAGTTCGTTGATGTACATTCTTGTCTACATCTACCTTAGGTAAAGTGCTAAAATCTCTAGAGCTCTGTGTTCTGATTATATAGCTGATGACAGCATGGTTGAAAAAAAAGATACGTAAATTTACTGAGATTTCTTTCATAGATTCAGCTTCATATAATATTAATCAGTTTTTAGAATTCCATTATTGTAAGCTTCAAATCTCTTACATGTAAGCACTATGACAAATGTTGGATATGGAAACAAAATTTTTTGATATTCTTTCAAACAAAGATAACCACTGAAGAACACTTACACACACTCTGAAAATATGCACTTATGTTTGACATTTTAAAAGCAATCTCCTTAATTTACTAACCAAATAAGTTCTAGAGAATTTCCAGTTTTCAATTTGTGGAAAGGTTATGAGGGTATACTATGATATTCTTATAAAGTTATATCTGATATTTCTGCCTCATTCTTTAAGATAGTTTCACCTCTCCTGTATCATCTTTTACAATAATCCCATGAACTTGACTGAAAAAGATGTTAACACTGCCCATACTGTCATGTAAATGAAAACAACTTTTACTGGACTCTGGTGCCAGGAAGAATTAAAGACTCTGTTATTATTCATTTCTTCCCTATAGTAAATTTCATGGTAGTTCCATGCTATTTAAAGGCTAGTATAGTTTTATTATTTTCTTCAAATCAAACTCTATCTTTGAACCATTTCATTAGATGTAAGGAGAATATATTGGGATTGGCAGAAGACACTTGGCTTAACAGAGAAAAATTTTTCTTAAACATAACAGTGGTACAATGTCACAAAATTAAAATTTTCTCTATAGAATGTTATGATTGATATTAGCAAAAAAATCCAGCAAACAGTACTGAATATTTTTGCTTAGGAAAAGTCTATGTAAATTAACTGTTCTGCTGCAGTTAATTGTAAGAGACATTTGTTAATTCTCCTTTTACAAATGATAATGAACATAAAAATAATAGTAAACATCTTTCACTGCCTAGAACTGTACTAAATAGTTTTATACATATTATTTAATTTAATCTCTGAGAATTCTTTGCAATGAGGACTTATCTAGTGTTTTTTTCTTAAAGAAATTGGAAGTTTGGAATGTAAGAATCATACCTGGCTAATAAACAAAGTCAGAAACCAAGAATATATGTATGCTATTTCAAATCCTAAGCTTTAAATCTTTGTTGCTTCTATGCTATTTACTATGTTCTCTCTAAAATGATTTCATAAGTAAATGGGGATATGTGTCAATACCCACATACATGGCCATAAATACACATACACACTGAAGGCCTTTTCTTGTTTGATGTATAATCCTTGGGATATAAGTCTTCCTTTTTTTTTTTTTCTAAAAACAGAGTTTTGAAAAGATCTTGGCAAAAATTGTGTCTCTGTATTTCAGAGCCATAGAACCAGCAGTGCTTTTGGTTGGCAACAAGCAAGACCTCTGTCATGTGCGTGAGGTGGGCTGTGAAGAAGGACAGAAGCTGGCCCTGGATAACCGGTGCCAGTTCTGTGAACTGTCTGCTGCAGAACAGTCTCTGGAGGTAGAAATGATGTTTATCAAAATCATCAAGGACATTCTGACAAACTTTAAAGTCAAAGAAAAGAGAAGACCCAGTGGTTCTAAATCAGTGGCCAAACTGATCAATAATGTATTTGGAAAGAGAAGGAAATCTGTGTAGTAGACGTATAATCTTAGGGGGTTTATTGTTTCAAAGTGTTTCAGACATTCACTTGGTAATTAAATTTAACCTTTGTATGCAATTTAAGAAATTCTCTTGGAGGTATGAAATGATAGAGCGTGAGCTACGGCTGTAATTTCAAATATATTGTTTGTCTTTTGTTGACTGTGTCTGGTTCACTCTGCTTGCCATATAATCTTTCACTTATTGTACTGAAAAGCACTTGCTGCAGTCCCTTGGTGGATTGTTATCCAGTGTGCCAAGTAAATGCTGCTTATGTAAGTTTATTAAACAACTGTCCCAAGGTTTATTTACCTGTGTTTTTCTTTTTTTTTATTTTAGAAATAAAAGGAAAATACTAACAGACCGACAACATTTTACAAAATAGCAAAGGATCAGTACAGACATTACAGAGTTACAAACAGAGTGGTAGGGAATTAACAATGCTTATTGTATTACATATTGATATCTTCAATGTAGTTTCTCATGAAAACACATATAGACATACAAAGCTAATCAACCACTGCCTCACTGACAGTTTCTTTCAGCAAGGAAATACATGACAGTAGAACACCTGTGTTAACTATCCTGCATATACATATATACAAACTTTCTCCTTCTTTCCCTTCTCTTTTCCCATATTCCAGTTATCCTTTACCTATGAGTGCTTTCCTATCAATTCCCAATGTCTATCATATCTCCTAGTTGAAATTAACTCTTTCAGGCTTTACACTAGAGAATGTGGTGCTTGCACATGTATGTTTGATTTATTTCGCTTATGAGTATGGCACCTGTGTTCATAGCCGCACAATTTGTAATTGCTAAAATGTGGAAGCAACCCAAATGTCCATCCACTGAGGATTGGATAAGAAAATTGTGGTACTTTTATATAATGGAATATTACTCTGCTGTAAAGAAAAATAAACTCGAGGCTTTTATAGGCAAATGGTCACAACTAGAGACCATACTTACCTGTGTTTTTCATAGTTCTTTTACATGGAACGAGTAATTCTATTCTAATGTAATATATTCTAGGTTGCAATTTATAAATTTGTGAACATTCCTTATTTAATAGAAACACATAGATTCATTTTAAAAATGTCTTTTCAATCATCTAGTGAGTTACATGACACTTCCCATATTTTACACATAAATTAGGACTTAAGAGGCTATATTCCATGCCCATAAATAAATATTTTGTAGTTGGTCTGGTAATGAAAAGGTCTGTCTTTTCTTTTATGCTATCTCAATGAGGGTAATCCTCACAGGGAATTAGCTTATATAGAAAAGAACCTTTGCAGATCAAAAGACCAGTCTATTTTAGTTTATTGAAAAACCTACACACTAAAGGGAAGAAAAAGTAAAAACTTGGTAAAAATGTAACCTGGAGGGCTTCTTTGCCCTGCCCTCAAACAAATTTTTAAAAATTATTTACAAATATTTGGGTCCTGATGAGATGATTTTCACTACCATTTTTTTTCGAAAGACAACATTCTGCTTCCTAGACCACATTATACCCCTACTACTGCCCCTCTGGGACTTTTCTACTTACTGTCTTTCTAGTTGAAGCTTTAGACCTCACTTCAGCCAAATGGTTAATATGTAGGTCCCAGACAAGTTACACGAGTTGTACAAACAAGGCTGCACACATATTTCATTAATATCCCTGAGCGGAAACCTGGTGACCGGGATGGAAAAAGGCTGAATCGAGGATAGTAGGCTGCAGGGGGCAGAGAATGGCTGATAAGTAGGCTTTGTAGAAGAGATTTTGTTGACATGAACTCATGCACAATAAGTCATAATTCAACATTTTAAGAATGACACTTGGAAGTGGTCTATAGGACTTTGTTGTTCCCTAAAACTTTGAGCTTAATGTTATAATAGCATAAAAGTAATAGAAAGAACTATGTTGTGACTCCACAAACTAGGTTGACTAAAACCCCTGTGAGAATTCAGGGAACTTCATTTACTTGGGAAATAAGGGGCATAGACACTTTTGAGAAGCTTGATGGTGGGGCTGGGGATTTAGCTCAGCAGCACAGCACCTGCCTGGCAAACGCAAGGTCGTGAGTTCGATTCCTGATGCCAGAAGAAAAAACAAAAGAACAACAACAACAAAAAAACAAACAGAAAAACAGAGAAGCTTGGTGGTGACTATGCTCCATAGGTCAGAGTGGAGAGTAGATCAGCTCTGTTGTTCTACCTCAGTGGATGCTACCATTGCTCTGTGCTCCTTGATATCAATACAGATGTCCGAATCTTAGAAAAGTGCGATCTGGATGTCTGGATTTACAATGCTGTTTTTATTTTTACCAACTTAACCCCAGAGAAATGGTGCCTTATCTGGAGCAACATCCGTTCCTGATACCGCCTGACTAGATGCTTACAGGTGATGTGCTCAGGCAGCTATGTCGAGGGAAGCTTCCTATTGTGGACTGGCGCACTGCTTCCTTCTCTGCCACTAGGCACTGTTATCTTGGCTTTGTTACATAAGCACAGAGGTGGCCAAATAAAAAATAAAAACGGAGGTTGACATCTGTTAGTCAGGTGTTATGGTTTTTTTTTTTTTTTTTTTTTCAGGTGTTATGGTTTAACTATGAAATACCCCTCCTGCAAGACTCATCATAAAGGCTTGATCTCCAGTAAGGCAATATTAGAGGTGGGGCCTAGAGAGGTCATTGGATCAGGAGGGCTCTAACTTCCTCAGCTCTCCACTAATGAGATGATAAACCTATGGGATTATCGGCATATGATGGAAACAGGAAGTGGAGCCTAACAAAAGACAGTGGGCCATGGGGGTGTGTCCTTGGAAATTGTATCTGACCTTTAGCCCTCTCCTCTCCAGGTCTCTCTTTTTCTATCTGCTTATTGGGTACTATGATAGGAACAGTTTCTTACACCATGCCGTTCCATTGTGATATTTCTCCCAGGTCACAGGTCTAGAAACAGTAAAGCTGGCTGATTATGGACTGAATCTTCTGAAACTGTGAGCCAAAAATATCATTCTTCTCTAAGTTGCTTATCTCAGGCATTTGGTCACAGTGATAGGAAGTTCACTAACATATTAACCCATCCTGTCCATCTGGTTGTAAAGTGACTTATTTTTGGCTTTTACTTTCTTGAGGGTATGAATATGATATACAGGAACATGAGTATTTTATGACTTATCTGAGGGATGTATCCACATACCTTTTCTTTGGGCATGCTGGTTTCTGATCCTCCAGTATGACCTTTTACAGACTCTGACCAAATATCCATACAAATTATCAGTGCACTTGCATGTTACCTTTCCTACCATACAAGAAAGACAACAATATGCACTTCTTGAATTTCTGCCAGTTTGGATAAAACATTTCTGTTAATGAACTGCATTTTTACCTCTTTATAAAAGTATAATAAGGCACTAATTTTTTTTCACTGGTGTTAATATATTAAGGTAAAGTGAGGGAAATTTCCTAAGAATTAGGGAGGGTGATTGCTATGTAAATGAGAAATAAACTATTGCATAAAGTTATTCTACCAAATTCAGTGATGGACTTTTTTGTTCAACAGCTTTATGGATTTTCTTAAATTTTGTGTCTCAGTATTGACTATATAACTATCTGTTATGTGGATACTATATATACTTAGACATATATACACTATAAATTAGTGCAAGCAATTATATTTTTGTTTATTTGTATCTCTCTGGATAGTCTTTATTTTTATTTGTTCTGCATTCTTTGGAGTATTTTTTGCAGTTAACTAAAATTTCTTTGGACTCACTTACCATTAAAATAACATATTTCCCCATCTATGTGTAAGAACTCTGATGTTCAAATGGTACTTAAATTATTTAATAGCTTAATTCATTCATTTTTTTCTATGATGAGTGAAAGCATGCAATTTCTCTGTTAAGGATGTTAGTTTTCTATGAATTTTATGTTTTTATTCATTGCACTCATGTTTTTAGTAAGCTGATCTGGGATGACACATCTTGTTACGATGAGTCATTGGAATGTAGTAATAAGAATATAAATTTACATTTTCAATATATTTTTGAGGCAACTTTAGAAATATTTGGCCATTTTTCAGAGTGATATTTAAAGATACTGTGTTAATTCTTCCTTTGATATGACAGTTTCATATATGTATGCACCCACTTTGTTACTTCTCTAATCAAAATTAACTCACAAACCCTCATTTCCCAGCCTTGCTTATGGGCCTGTCTTAGTGACTATCTTTTAACAAATTGAATAAAGCAGAAGTAATGTGTATGACTTACAAAGCCTGGTTAGAAAAGGATATAGAGCGCCCATGATTTTTTTCTCTCCCTTGGGACTCTGTTTCAGAAGCTGAGAGTCAGTACGGATAAACCTGGCTGCCCCATAGCCACCAGGCTGGAGATAACATGCAGAATTAATAACCACACCACACAACCATCAGGTAGATGAACAATGATTCAGGTGGTTCTAAATTCCCATTACTGTGTTATCTTACCAAGTAAAGCAGATACCCTCACAGAGTTTTCACCCAATTACAGATATGTGATCATAGCAAAAATAGACATTATGTTGAAATTATTGCATGTCAACAGAATTACTAGAAGAGATTATCCATTAAAATTCTCAGGAACTCAGTTAATATGAAAGGTTTGGCTTTCATAGAATTCCTCCAACTAGGTTCAATGTTGTCTAATACCTGGAATTTTCCAAGACTAATTTTCTTGTGGGTATAATTCACTTGCAAAGAAACATGTCATACTTTAAAAATAATAAATTGCATTTTTCCAAAAGTGAACAAAAAAAATCTACCTATGGCAAAATAAATTCATCAACATTAGGACATAGATTGTTGCAGATAGAGGGTGGAAAATATGTCTATAAATCTTGGAGAAAGTTAAGCTGTATCACCAGGTCTGGAATCGCCTGTGCTGCTTCTAGTAAAAAAGATGCTGTCATTCAGTTTGGATGAGCTCCAGTGAGATAACATATAATGAGGGGCAACAGCTGAGGAAGGGATGCCAAAGGGGAGGGGTCTTGAAAGTGGTTTTGATTTAATACAAGGCATGCACTATTAATAAAGAGGTTGAATGATACCTGTATGTTTTATAGGTTTATAAATTGGCTGTAGTAAAATATTTTACATCTTAGATCACTAGGTATTGTTTCAGCTTATTATGGGAGATATCTATCCAGAGTTGACTGAATTGTATTAATCTGAACCTAGTTTAATGATGCCTTAACATTTTTATGGGGGAATTTAATGTTTGCAATATCCATGTTCCTTATTTGAAAGCGTGACTTATAGGTTTCTCATCT